GCCTCACCCTCTAGGACTCACAGCAGGTCAGACACACACAGGAACTACACAGGACCAAGTGACACATACATGTTTTTACATGTAATACAGCAGCATTGCGCACGCACGCATGCACGCACACACACACACAAACGTTCNGTCTGGTTTAGGACAGTCTGGTTTAGGACAGTCTGGTTTAGGTCAGTCAGGTTCAGGGAAGTCTGGTTCAAGTGGAAAACTTTTTTCAAGTGTGGCTTGGAGACCGGTCATTTAATTTTATTTAGTTATTGTTTTTTTTTTTCTTTATTAATGTCCTACAGTCTAAATTTGAAGACGAGTGTTTGTCAAAACACTCCAATTTATCGACTGACCAAAAACACTTTGGAATCCCCCCAGAAGAGCTGAGAGTCTGGGGACAGAGAGGGCTTCTGCTCCAGCTGCTGTGACCAGACTCCGGATAAAGCAGAAGATGATGGATGGATGTTTGAAAAAAATCCGTCAGATACGTCCATTCCCACAAAATGGGGTAAATCCATGTAATTTACTAACAATCCATTCTTGACATGTATGGAGGGTTGATGTCTAAACCTCTCATTTTGTTTCTTTTTTTTTTTTACTCAGCTTCAATTTTATTTTACGGATCAGAGCCTGTAGGATGTGAATAAATAAAAAAAATTAAATAACCTGCTCAATCTTTGAGGATCAAGATGCAGGTAAACGTCTGGGTTGACATGTGAGACAGATCGTCTATTTTATGTTAAATTTAATATATACAGCTGTTTATGAGCCCAACTAAGTCTGCTACTTCCACAAATTAGCTGAACTTCAACAAGTAAGCTAGAAGCTACAGCAAAAAACAAAAAACTTAGAAAAACAGTTGCATGTCAAAATGTTGATTTTTAGTTTTATACTTCAAAATAATATAAGAAAACCTTAAAGAGACTTAAATCAGCAGAGGTATGCATCATAAATACATGTTCTGCTTCGTTATGTCCTTCAGCCAGATGTCCTCACTCATCTATGATGACTCTACAGAACAGGGCTGTCTGTGGCAGCAGATTCACCTCAGCACTTTGTACACTCAACCCAGATTTTCATTGTAAATAAACTTTTTAGTAATCATTAATTTTTTTATGTTGTGGAAAAATGTTGTGTCATTAATAAAACTAATTAGTTGAATTTACTTTTTTTTGCCAAAAATATAGCGTGTAATAATCTTAAGTAAAGATTACTATGGTTGATTTTGAAGTGAAGTATGTATGCTGAGAGACCCTACAGACTGGTGCTGCCTGTTGGAGCGGATGTTTCAGTGCAGCCGCCATCTTGGATGGGTACCTCTCGCGCTCCCAGCGCATTTATTTATACTGAGAAAGCTGTTCATCCAACTAAAATAATGAATTTTTCCACACGATTTGGTTTGTTACAAACAGCAGAGATGTAGTTATGTTATTGGACACAGTCACACATTAAAAATAAGAGCTTTCATGCTTAAATACTTTTTAAAATTCTCTTATATTGTTTTTATTGTCCCTCAGTGGTTATATTCAGGTGCACCTGCAGCAAAGTGACAGCAAATTCACACAGGGTGAACATATTTTGTATTAATAAGAAATAAAGTCAATTTTTAAATTTTGTAATAAAGAAAAATGTTTGATTGGTCCTTTGAAGTTTTTTACACAATCTTACTTCTTCACAGCGACGTGATGGCGTCACTTCCTGTTTAGACGCCGCTGCTCACCCCGCCCACAGAGGATCAGGTGCAGACGCACGCCTCGGCTGTCTCTCAAGCTCCGACGTTTGGATTAGCGGTTGGACCCTGGACAGAACCGGGTCTGAGGCGCGGCTCAGAGGATTGTGTGGTCCGGTTCGGAGCGGCTCAGGAGGAGCGGGCTCGACCCGGTTTTCTTCGGGCTTGTCTGTCAAGGAGAGACGGAAGGGAGGGGTGAAGTTTGCTTCATCCTCAGCTTTACGGTGATAAACTTCTCCTTTGTTCCGTTTAAAGACCTGTCTTCACCTGTATTCCCGTGCTGTCTGTCCGGGTTCCTGCCGGTCCGGCCCAATCTGGATCTGTAAACTGAGAAAAAAAAATATAACGATAAATAAATCCTCCATTAGTTTATTAGGTGCGAATAATTGAGGTCTAGATTATGCAACTTCTAGCAGCGCATGGTTTTTTTAGTCCTACATTTAATTCGTCCACATTTATTATTTATTTGATGAAAAACATGTTCATCCTGTGAATCTGTCAGTTCACAGCTGCTCCCTGTCAGGCTGGTGGTAAACACCTTGGAAATAAAATCAACCCAGACAAATGAATAAAGTCATAACAGTAATGCTGAAACACAAGAAATTAAATTAAAGTCACGCGGTGGAGCAGCGGTCGGTGCCACTGCCTCATAATTCTGAGGCTGCAGGTTCGAGCCCAGGCTGCATGAAGGCCATCCGAGGGAAAGAGTTCCTTTATGGGAGCAGCTGAGAGATCAGCAACAACCCAGCCTTTCTTGAAGGAATGCATATTGCCTGTTACCGTACATACCAGAGGTTTAGACAAAGATCTTGATAGTAACTTTCAGCTCAGTCTCCTGCAGTGTTGTGAGTCGTCACGCTCAGATTTCATGTAGTGATTGATTCTTAGCTGCTTTTATATCTTAATATAGCTGAACATCTGTAAAACTGACTGAATTATAGACATTTTTATCTTAAACAGAGTTAAGGAAGTACATTCAGTGTTGGATAAGTGGACTATTACCTCGAAGGAAATTCACAAGTTGTCAGCTGCTTCAAGTCACACAACATGAGATAGAAACATGTTAAAACAAATCAAAGAAGGGAAAGTATATAAGAATATAGTAACTAGGGCTGCAACAATTAATTGATTAATCGTTTTCTTTTTTGTTGTTTTTTTTACTTTGTTTTTCTCTCCAAACTGCTTTGACACCTTCCACTGCCACATCTGCCTTTCTGTCCTTGACACACATGCACAGTAGTGGTAACTGGGGTAGGCCGTGGACGTCACAAGACATTATACAGACAGGCTCTGGTATCATGGCTACCTGACAACAGAGCTCAAT